CAAGCAAACAAACAAACAAACAAAAAACCACAACAAAAAAACCCCATCTGAATTAACCTCTCCTTTTTGTCTCCATTTATTTATGGTGAAGATGCTCTGTGCACAGATTTCCTCTTTGCTGTTGAGAAAATCTTAAAGACCACTACATTCCCTGGAACCCTGGAAGGATTTGATCAAGACAAGATAGAACTGGAAGTAAGATTGACAAATATTACCTTTTCTCTGCTTTCAGAGCTAAAGAGAGACAGTTAAACCAAAGCACAAACAGGTCTAGCATCTCAGGGTGCCTGATTACTTTTGTTTTAGAATAAAGCTCTGTGTGACAATAGTGAAGTCTGCCCTTCTGCACGACAATGACTCTATGTAGGAACCATTCAAAATCTTTCTGTGTAGGAGGATATGGTCTGAGTCCTGGTTATGGCAGTGAAGTCTTTGAAAGCAGTATAAGGCACACTAAGGGACATTAAGATACTATAATGCACACAACAAATTGAATACTTTAAGGTGCTTAGATGTGAAAATTGATTCACATGAGAACTGACAACACAAAAGTGAAGATGACAGGATTGTTCCCCTTCTTTGTCCTGTTTGAAGGAATAGAATGCCAATGGCATCCTGGGGTCTATGAAATACCCTGAAACTAGGGTATAGAAGGGGAAAATAGAAAATCTGGATGAAATACACGCAATTTTTAAAATATGTGATCTGCAGTTCTAAAAAGCTAACATTTTAAGGCAACTGCAGTTGGATATTTTTATTTTGTCAATTATTTTATTCTGGCTGTACTACTGTAATGCATGTTAATTTCAATATATGAGAAAGCATTATTTTTGGAGTAAAGTTTAAGAGGAAATAAACTGAACTGATTATTTTTAGCAGCTTTTAAAAAAAGACTTTTTAAAAAAATTGTACTACAAAATACTATATACAGCATCCTCATAACTGTTATGTTGTATAAGTAGTAGAAAAAGCTTGGCTGTCATTGTTGCAGATTGGTAGTATTCAAGCCTAGTAAAACCAACAAATTCTTACAAAAATGGGGGCTCAGCATGTACAGCACTCACATTTTAAGCCTCAGTACTTCAGCTATTTTTAATTTAAATTAAAACCCAGAATGTCCCAGGTCATTGAAAGGAACAAAAGAGCTCCACAGAAAATCTCTTTGAGAAGCACCACCGATCTGAAGGAGAATAAAAATAAATAAAAAACGATTTTCCACCACTCCTGTTTAGTAACCCTATGACTTAAAATACTAATATATCTTAAAGTGTGTAAAAGGGGGGGGAAAAAAAAAAAAAAAAAAAGTGTTGTTGGACTAAGACTTTGCTTATCAAGTTTCATCCTGGAGGAAATTTTTATAGCTGAGTTATAAACCCTCAACACTAGAGTGTTTATAATGGAAATGCTGACAAATGTGATAATAAACACCAATCATGGGGCTATAGTAACTGGTCAGAATGTGGATGCAGGAGTCTGTAGTGCTATCATAATATTTTGTTCTCTTTCCAGCACTAATTTGCTTAAACCTGCTTTCAGATTGAGCAGCTGTAAAACAAGATCAGCCTGACTATAGATTGCAAAATCATTTGATTATTTATACTTCTCTCAGAAAGCTTGGAAATGTCTCTCAATTATGATTTCATTTAGGCTTATTTTTTGGTTTACATGTCTGAATACTAATCGTAACATGATAGCTTCAAGGGAGCTCAACTTTATACCAAAAGGCAGCCTTCAGTGGGCAAAGAGAATATAAACAAACTCGCCTCAGACCAAGATCTAAAAATGGGCTATGATCAAACAGCTCTATGGCTTAAAAAACCCCCTTATTATCTTTTCCCAGAAGTAATTGACACTGTCGGGTTTTGTTCTTAATGCAGTGATAATAGCATGGTGCTTTGGGGAGTCCAAGGACTACTACTGGCCTTAGCCGTGGTGGCAGCAAGGTTTCTGAGCAAGGGAAAGGCCTTTCCAAAGAGTGAGTGACATCCCAGCCTTCCTGAATTTAGAAGCACTTTTGCACTCACTTCACTAGGGCCAAGGGTTCACTGGCTTCCCAAGACTGACACACTGTTTTATTGTCCTGTGACTCCACAGACTAGGATGCAGCTACCTTGCATTAAGAAGAGGATGAGAGGAAAAGGCACCCCACTGTCTTGTTATTTCAGGGAGAGGGGATTGCACTCCAGCAAGAAGCTTGTCTGCAATATTTCCATAATTTGTTTGTACTCTCAGCAGACTGAGCTTCCAGGACTTCAACACATCCACATGGGCCAAGTGATGGGTCAACATGGTATCTCCCTGTTTTCATTGAGCTCTTCATGGGCATAAAGACATGCTTTAGTTTTAACAAAGGTCTCTAAGAAACAAATTGCATCTGGACTACTCTTCTGATAAAACTTTATCAGTTTTGGAGAAGCATGAAAAAACCCGCAACACTAAAGCCCCCTTCCTTGGGTTTTTAGCTCCTATAGGTTAATGTAAGGCCAAGAGACTCCTCCAAAGTCTTTGACAAAATGCATCTAGATACTTTATCTGTGCTTCTTGTATATTGTTCTCATTGGCTTATATCATGACTACATTTTTACTTTCTAATGTTATTTCTAGAATCAGTAGCTCAAATAAGATTGTGGAATGTGGAGGAAGAAAAAAGTATTATTACTGCTCTGTATTGCTGCTGCAAAATTTGCAGTAATCCATTAAAAATCAGGTTTCGTAATGCAAGATCTGGATTTTGATTTGCATTTTAAAATAAAATGTAACATTTTTTCTCTGCTTTTCCTAGTCTTTAACATAAGTATGAAAAAACCTTAGATCTTGTACAAATTCCAAAGTTTTGTTATTGAACCAAGAACAGAAACCTAGTAATTTTTAAATTCTCTGTTACAAACATGCTTACGTTAAGAATGTCTTAAGACTCCGTGTACTACTGAGTTCTAGTTATCCAGTAACATGAGGAAGAAATGGTATGAAAATATATATTACCATGTTGTGGAAAGCACAGTTGTGTAGAGATCATAGAGAATTAGTGCTAAGAAGTGAATATAGACTTGCATATTTTATTGTCCTTAAAAAAATTGTCTTCAGTGTTTTACTTGAGACAGTGGTAACAGTTGCATATATCTGGGTCATGTGAACTCTTGTTGATTTTGGAACATAGTTTATTCTTAATTCTTTTTCTAATTTTATTTTTAGAAAAAAAAATATCAAAAAACCAACACCAAAACCAACACAAACCCATCTGAAGAGGTGAAACACCCCAGTTTCTTGTAAGGATCCAGCTGTGTTAACTATCCCATTGCTTCTTGGAATAAAAAGCATTCTGACAACTGGAGAGCAGATGCAATGTGTGGAGTCAGGGAGGTCAACAAAAACAAGTGGAAAAAGAAACCAAGCAAACAAGTGAAAAGAGGAAGAATATTAGAATATTAATGAAGGATATTAGATCACTCATGACAATACTAAAATGAATGAAATGAGAAAAAGAAGTCACCACAGCAGCTGATGAAACATGAGAGAAGAAATCAAAGATGTGTTGGGGTAGGATTTAAATCTCAACCATACCAGCCTGAATCCCAGGTAAATCTTGATTTCACTAATATCACAGAGAATGTATATATTGGAGATAAATGCTGACCTGAGAAGTCACGCAGAACCAGTGCCCTGGGTGGGACATTTCCTCCCAAGCTGAACGCGGTTGAACAATCAGGTCGCTGCCCTTCTGCTGCAGACAGGGAGAGAAATCCAGGTCTTTCCCTGGCAGCGGCGAGGGAAGGTGCCAGCAGCAGGGAAAGCCGGAAGGGAAGGAGTGGGGCAGAGACACATCAAGAAAGGCCGGGGGAGCTTCTATGGGAGATCCCCGGACCCCCTGCCCCACTCCCAGCCCGGCTACGGTCCCCGCCTTGGCTGCCGCTCCCACTAACAACGGGCTGCGGTGCATTCATTAGTAGACAACGCAAAAAAAAGAGAAGAGCGATCCGCAGTGTACCCTGTGCCCATCCCCAGGTTACGGCCGGCTCGGACTTCCTCTACCTTCCCGCTTCGGCTTTTCACAGTTTACTTATTTATTTTCTCTCCTTGAAGGAATTAAGCATAGAGGGGAGGAATGAAAAAACCAAACAACAAAACTAAAAATCTGGCGAGAAGCAAAAGGGCTTTCTGTGAGCTCTCCAACATGAAAGCCCTCAAGTTTTGCCTCCCAGACGGGCACAGACGCCCTCCCAAGCCCGGCCCCTCCGATCCCGGGGAGGCAGCGCCCCGGCCCCTCCGGCGTCCCCGGGCAGCGCCGGGCCCGGGCCTCCTCCGCCAGCTCCTGCTCGGTGAGAGCCAGAGCGCCGAGCCGCCCACAGGCAAGGACAGAGCTAGTCCAGGGAAGAGAATCGTGACAACAAACGGTTGTGTCCAGATGTTCCACTTTGCTGGCCCTGTAACACACGGCATGGACTTGGCAGGCGGGATTTCAAAGAAAAGGGAGTTGTTGTTTATTTTAATTTATTTATTTATTTATTTATTTTAAGCAGAAAGCACTGGTTAAAATGCACACACCGAGCTTTTCCTAGTCCCTGGCAGGCAGCTCGGAAGACAACTGGATCCGGTGGAAACCTTCTCCACAAACAGGAACAGCTCTGCTTGCCCCGGCCGAGCCTTTCTCGAAAGCAGCGAATTGCAAACATTTTAAAGCACGCAGGAAACGCAACACAAACCAAAAGGCTTTGCGCCTGCATATCTTTACCTTTCCTTTTTTTTAAAAAAAAGTATATATATTAGTAAATCTACGCATATTGAGTCTCTCCACTCCTCCGCTCCTCCCCCCGCCCCCAACGCACCACTGCCCAAACACTCTTCGTTTTTGCTTCCCACACCTACATGGTCCTGGCTGCGATGTGAGAAGCGAAGGCAGGAGCCACGGCTTTTCGTCCCGAGGGAGAGGCGACCAGGGCCACCTGCTCCGTGCCGTGGGTCGTCCCAGGCCCCGGCTCCGTCCCTCCGGGCCCCTGCCCTCCCTAGCTCGCCTCCTGCCTGCTGCAGCCGTCCAGGAGCTCAGTCATGAAGGAGATGTACACTATGGCCAGACGCAATGTCTCTATCCGGGACAGCCTTTTCTCGTAGGCGAAGGTGGGCACCTTCTTCCTCAGCTGATCAAATGCCTCGTTGAGGTTGAACATCCTCTTCCTCTCCCGTATGTTGGCAGCCTGGCGCTGGGCGTAGGTGATAACCCGCTTTCTCCTGGGTCTGTCCAGAAGGGAAGCGCTCCGCATCCTCTCTTCCTCCTCCTCCTCTTCTTCGTCTTCGGGGTCTCCATCTCCGAAGGCAGCCAGGGGCAGCCCTCTAGCCATCCCCTGCCGGACCGACAGGGCTCTGTCCCCGAAGGGAGGCCCAGGGGTGATCTCACAGAGTCCAAGGCTCGGCCCAGCCCGGGGAGGAATCTGGGGGGAGCCCAGAGAGAAGTCGGCCACGAAATCCAGCACCGAGGCGCCCAGCAACCCTTCTGGGCAGGGCACTTGTGGGGCTCTGCCGTGCAGCTCATCCAGTAGTCCCGGGTGCTGGTGGGCTGGGAAGAGGCTGGCTGACATCTTACTTCAGAGTGGGCTTAATCTAGTCCCCCATCCTCAGCCCCAGCGGCGTTAATATTTATAACCTCCCGGATAACAGGATTAGCAGGGCTAGAAAGAGCGGCTGTAAAATTTCTCGCCGTGATGCTGATGAGAGGAGACAGGCAGCCCCTTCAGGGACGCGTGGATTCTCCCGAGAGAGGGGTGCCCAGCGAGTCAATCCTGTCACAGCGATCAAGGACAGTTCCTTCTTGGCAAAACCCTCCGCTCTTACCTGCTGAGCACTTTTGTCTCTTCTTAAACACCCGCAACCAAACGATTTTCAGCCTCTTTAAAGCCCGCAGCCGCAGAGCCGGGGCTCCACTGGGCTTGCTTTCCTGCTTTCTGTCGGGATCTCTGAACCCTGAGAGCCAGCCTGACAACTGATGTCAGGCAAGTGCGTGTATGCTTTTAATGATGTCCTGAAGAGGGGACCTGCACGCAGAGGGTCACCGGGGAATGTTTACCCTGTATCCCAGCGCAATGGGAGCTGAATGACAGGACCTCCATTAGCCTAAGTAAGCATTGTAGGGGACCCGATATTGCATTCCCAGTTGTAACTGTTGGAATCGTTTCTCCGTTCCCCCTAAATCCCCTTCAACTAGAGTTCAAACATCTTTCCAGTAAAAGGCTGCTTCGTAAAGCTCATTTCGGTTCAGGCAATTTCAAAGCACTTGCTTTGAAACTCCTTCCTCGTGCCCACGAGACGAGGACAAGTTGGCCCCACTCAGGGCAGCGGCTGCTCGTACAACTTTGGTAGAGCCGTCCCGGTTCCCGGGGGTGCGCAGAGGAATCAACCTGTCTGCACGCACTGATAACTCTGGATACATAGCTCAAAATACCGTGAAATGCATATATAAACACACCCGTACACCCGACACCGCTGAATACCTTTCTTGGATCAAAGTTTCATTGGGGATGGACGCTAGGGATTGGTTTGCTTTTGTCTTGGGAGGCTGGAAGAGGTTAGGGGTTGTCTCTTCACCCTCCCACACCGGAGGCTCCCTCTAAATAAACAGCCTGGCCCTGGAAATCCCTGGCAACGTCAGACACACTCAAGTTGAAGCGGATCGATTTTCTTTGGCACACGATTTGTGCCCACAGCTCGTTTAGGAGTGGCTGCCCATCAGTCTTGCGCTGCCTCCTGAAAGCCTGATCTTCGCCTTTGTCACGCATTGTTGCCACTCCCGCTTTGGGGCTAATTAGTCTCTAATTTCTAAGGGGATTTCAAAACCCATCAGATCAAAGGAGGCGGGGTGGGGGAGGCCGAAGGATCCAGCTCCCCGAAAATCCTTCCTTTTGCCTAAAAGCCCGCAAACATTTCCGACCGCGGACCGGGATCTGCCGTGATTTACAACGCAGTGAGCCAACTACGCGTCCCCTTTTCCCGGGAAAGTATGCCGCGGGAAAGATACTTCCCAGCTCGCCCCGCCAGCCACCCCCGGCTCTGAGGCTGCCGGAGGCGCGGGGTGGGCAGCGCGGTGGCTGCGCGGAGCGGCGCGGGGGCTGCGGAAGGTGAGCGGACGCGGAGCTACATTGGACAGCTCCGGGGCCGCGGAGGCTGCTGGTTGCCCCGCGGCGACACGGCGGGGACCCAGTGGCACTGGGGGAGCCCGGCGGCCCCGCAGAATTGGGGGACGTCCCTCTCTTCCTGCGGCCTGACAACCCTCATCTCCCCTTTCTGGGTCACCGCCACCATCGCCACTGCCGTGGCAGTGATGGGCGGCGTGGTGTCCCTTTAATGATTGAATGGCCTGCCTAAGGCTAAATAAAGACCAAACAGGGGGAAGCCTGGTTTTATTCGTAACAGCGCGAAGAGTTTTCTTAGCCAAGAGGGAGAGCCGCTCAGAGACGTGCTTTTAATGACAAATACAGTTCATTAAAACACCTGATGAATTAACTAATAAGGCAAAGAGGAGCCGTAAAACATCTGCGAAGATGTTAAGAGACTCACTACAGAGCATCCAAGGGTAAGAGTAAGCTCAGGAGCTCTAAATGTTATATAAAAACGCCGGCTGAACGAAAGACCAGATAAATATTTATGATCGGTCTGCAAAGGAATGTAATTGATATGAGCTCCTTTTTGGTGAGGTGGCAAGTATTTCGTTTAAAGACATAGAAGGATAATTAAAGGACAAATGTCAGCTAAGATGTGTCACCACGGATTGCAAAACTTTCGGGGAAATAAAAATACTTGAGATAATGATATAAACGAATGGAGCAATGTGGCATAGTCAGCTGTGTGTCAATCTTCACATGAATTTCCCGTCTTATGAGAAACCGGCTGTTAAAAAGAGAATCAAGCAGCCCTTCACCACGGTGTCTGCAGAAAGAATCTCTAGCTCCCATTTCTAGTTTCAGATTTTTGCAGGACACAAACTACAAAGACAGCCGGAACCAGAAGCGTTGTATATTGCAAGACGGTAAAGGAAGAAGGTTGTTGAGTCAGTAGCCCATCACAGAGCGATATGACATAAGGGATTAACGCAGGATGTGCCTATCACTGAATCCTTAAAGGAAGCATTAAAGCCAGGACAAAGCAAGGGCTGGGGGGTCCTAGCAGAAAATGAAGACTTGTAGCTAAGGTGAATCCTCCTGTCAAACAGAATCATTTATTTATTTATTTATTTTAATTGCTTCTTTGTTTCCTGGTTTTGCCCTCTTATTTTTGTGAAAATATTGATTTTTCTCTTCTAGTAATTGTTTTGCATTATGTAGAATAAGCTCAATGAGCTGCGATTTTAGGTATATTTTGAACATTTTTTCTACTTGGTCATTTGTATCACATTGGGGAAAGCATGGAGTATGAGTATGGTTTTATTTATTTATTTATTTATTTATTTATTTTTATTGTTGTCGTGCAGCATTATGCTGCATGGGACAGGTTTTCAGTGCATAGACAATGCAACAAAGTAGGAGAAGCAGGACAGACTCTCATAAGAGGCTGCTTTATACTCTGAAATCTTTTCAGGCCAGATTAGGTGCTCAAACGTGTGCTCTCGATTTAACTAAGAATACAGTCTCTTCAATTATTTTTTTCCTTCCTTCACCCACTTCTTATCCTACATTTTAATCTCACTTGTTTATTTTTTTTAAAAATTGCTCAAAAAGTGCTTACAGGTGCTGAGCACTGATGGCTACATCTTCAAGCTACTCTTCAACTGCTTGCGTAATTATTTTTATTTGGAAAAATCTATTATATGATTCTTGATAATTTTGTAAATCAATGTCTCTTAACATGTCTCCCAGTATAGCAAACCAAATATCCTTTGCAGTATCAGGTACAAGGAGAATGTGCATTTGAATTCACTATACTTCTGTGGAAATAGTGTTACTCCTTTTGTAATCTTGTGTGCTGAGTCCCTGTGCTGATAATTTTCCCCATTATCACACAGGAAAGACAACCACTCTGATGACATAGCATTACTGATTGGGATGTTATAGATGTTAACAGTGATTTGTACTTTACTGGAAAATTCATTGGAAGTGAGAGGTGATCCTGAGATATTGAAATTAGAGGGGCACCATCTGTCAGAAATGGCTCAGTAAGCAAGGAGCAGAAAGCTGCTGTCTACTCTAGAAACCACAAAAAGTTATGCAACAGAATAAGATATGCAACAGAAAAAGAAGTCTACACACTCTTCTTGTTAAATGGGGAAAATATTCTCTCCCTGAATTGATTAATTAATAGCAGAGATTTGCTATCTTTCTGAAACCCTAGCCTGAATAACAGAAACAGTTGTACTGTGTAGCAGGCCAGTGCTGTCTTTCTGAGCTTACTGGTGTTGAAGCTGTCTGGTATTGTCAAGCCTTGAAATTACAGTAATGGCCATGGATCAGGACCTCATTACCTCAAAACACAGAACAGCTCCTGTTCTGTTGAACTCACAGGTTGCAGTCCTGAAAGACCAGACGACATCAGTGCAGTATGTAAGTGTGGAGACAGGGTGAACTGGTGAAAGAATGGACAGAGTTTGGGAAATATCTTGTCTTGACACTTGCTCAGTCATTTCTGAAGAGGAAGGGACCATGGACACCACTGGTAAATTAATGCAAAAAGGAAGTTTTGAAGCAAATCAAGCTGAAGACTGGTTGTTTTGATACTAGAAGGATGTAGTGGTATTCAGGTGAAAGCAGAGCAAAATGTGATTGAATATGGTGTCATTGGAAGGGTAAAGGGAACCTCTGATATCTCAATGCATTATCCCTACAGGCAGGGTGTATCGGACTGTGACAGAGTTTATGTCCAGGTCATTTGTTAGGCTGAAGGAGCCCAAATGAAAAAGATTAGATGAATTGGTCAGTACTGTTTCAAGAGACTTGCAACAAAACCAGGAAGGAGGAGGCTACTTAAGTCAAAGCTAATGTAGACCAGTGGAAGCAGTGCCTTGATGGCTGAAACAGCTAGGAAGCCTTTGGTGGATGGAGATAGATGAAGTGCATGGAGATGAGAACATCATAACCTCAATTTGACTTCTGCAGGTCTTACAGTCTGAAATAATTTATTGACTCCATCAGTTTAAAAAAAATGGTTACAAGAAATGGGATCATAATATCTAACTGCTGTCTTTTAGCCAAACACCAAGTAATCATCAAGATACTCTCGAGTCCTGCAGAAATGCGAGCACCTGTAGTGAAGTCTGCAGACCACTTGGAGTCTGCCTCTTCTGATGGGCCATCTAAGGCGCTGGGGGATACTGGCTTCTAACTCAGCTAACTTTAGGCCCGTGGGATGAACTTTGGCCCCAGAATTAGCAGCTTATGAATCAACACTAGGGAAAAAAATCCAGTAAGATATATATCCAGAGTATGTGGGCAAAGACAATTGTATATATTTGGGTGCTGTGACTAGAACAAGAATCTGTAGGAATTCTCTGCAACCTTTTTGTTGTTTTTTTTTTTCTTTCCCTCCAAATACCTTACTGTATAGGCAGTATAAGAATTAACTATTGCTTACATTGGTGATATATATTAGTACCCTC